GGATGTGGTATGCAGCAGAACTTGTATGCTGGTTTCAATGTTGCCATCGTAAGAGGCCACAGTCTTCTTGGCTACTTGCTGGTACCTGTGAACGTAATCTAACTGTGCTACCTCGCCGAGCCTGGTGCTCCCTGGCACGTCGCTGTGACGCTAACCAGACAGACACCACAGACACAGAAGAGCGCTATGCTCTCCTGCCCCTGCTGGCTGACACCCATTCAGTTCGCTCAGGCTGTCTATAAAGAGCGCTATGCTCTCCTGCCCCTGCTGGCTGACACCCATTCAGTTCGCTCAGGCAGTCTATAAGACTTAAAACTGAATTGGAATGTATTAAGGAAGGGAAGGGAAACTAGCAGGATACGCAGTAGGAGCACAGTGGGGTATGGTGCACTGCAACATCAAGATGCAGTTCACTGAGGATGAGGGTAGAAACCTCTCTATCTCTCTATTCTCCTTGGGCATAATAATAAATAATAATAATAATAATAATAATAATATCAGGCAGTGGTCGCTCTTAATTGATGCCTGATAGATAGTCATGAGCAGCTCTCAGCGCTGCGTGCTCGAAGACTTCACGCGCTGCTCAGATAGTGTCCTGTGGAAATTGATGATGTCGTTTTATGATCGTAAGGGTGTGGAGTCGTGGAGCCAAGGAATAGTCCCACATTTCATCACCTGCAACGCGTTTATTGGGCGTGCGCAACCAATTAATCCGCAGCATCAAATACCTGATCGCACGTAGGTGCGTACGCCAAAGTTCTCTTCAGCTTTTTTCGTGATTGTATGCACTCGGATGCAAAATTACCCATTGATGCATCGGAACCCCTATATGTTGTTGAGCTAGGGGCTGGCTCTGGTAAGTTCACCTTCTTCATATTGTCGGTCCGTAGCTTCCGTTACTTGCTGCTTCCAATAGTTTGGAGAACAGGCAATGAAGGAACTCGCTGGAATACTTGATCTTCCGCTGAGTCGCATAGTCTACGTAATGACAGATTTTACTTGGAATAATTTGAAGTTTTGGAATGATCATGAAAGCTTACGCCAATATTTTGAATGCGGCCTGCTTGATATCGCAATATTTGACGCTGTCAATGATGAATCTATAAGGTCGGAAGGATTGAAATCTATACACCATGAATTATGTGCAAACAAACATGTAGACTCCAACATTCGGGGGTCGTCATCACTCAGGACACTCTAGGGAATCCTATCTGCGTTATCGCGAATTATCTCTTCGACACTCTATGCCACGATATCTTCCAGGTAAGTTCGCTGTGGGAGCCTCTGGCCCGAATCAACTCATCAGGTAGAAAATGGGGAATTGAAAGAAGGCCTAATATCGGTTGGTTCACGTAACGAATATGAACAGGATCCACTGGATCCTGAAATAATTAAAAGATTTGACAACCAATTCTTATACAGAGCCATCGATGATGATTATTATTCTACAAGCGAGCGCGAAGATGCCTGCCATTTTAAGCGCATCTTGCGGTAAGATTTTCTGGGGTTTGCCTTTCTTTGTTTGAGTGACTGAAACTCAGATGGTATCGAGATTTTTTCGGAGAATCACCAGGCGGCGCCTCTATTCTCCTACCAATCGGTGCCTTGCGGGCGCTGCGGCGCTTAACTTCATTCTCTAGTGCGGCTGCAGCTGCTCTCTTGGTCGTTTGGAACCATGATTGGCCAATGTAGGTGGCCGTGCACTGGTCCTCTCCGGCGATAAGGGAAACAACAATCACGAGCAGCCCAAACCAGTGTCAATGCCTGCATCCACCGAACCTCTTGAATCATCCCGTCCAGATTCCGTGGACTCATGGACCCCCATGTTGCGGTGCACGGATCGTTTTCCGTCATGGTTAACTATCATGCAATCGGTCTTTACTGCACCAGTCGATCTGGGTTTGTCCTCCACGACCCCCAAGAAGAGGCATCATTAAAAGTCTCTGTCTTGGTATTTACGGGAGATGAAGGAACTAAGATCACTGAGGCTCATTCATATTCCGTGAACCACCGTGGCATCTTGCCGCCACCTCACAGTCGCAAATGGATTGGAAACGAAGTAGAACGCCTCTCTGCTGTAAGAAATGATTCAATTTCCAAGTGTCAGTTGTTCTTTGCTCCAATGAGGCTTCGCATAGGTGCGATCACTTGCATTTCCAAACTTGTGCCGCTCATTTTACGATTCAATTATCTCGTTTGGCCCAAATGACTTCTTTGTAATGCAGAAAAGCATGAAAGAGGATTCACAGAGGCCCGCCCTAAAAGCGATAGTTGTCCTCCTCAAGTAGCTGATCACGGGCGGCGTCTGCATGCATGTGGCTGAATATAAGGCCAATCGCAGGTTGAGTAACTGGGACCCTGATGTTTTTTACAAGTTTCGTGATGTCATATTACAGCAAGTGCCCACCTGCACCATCAAATTACGCAATGACCTTTGTCGCAACCTGCCTCGTGTCTGGACACAGCATTTTCTGCTAGACAAGGACAAAGATGTCGCATTCGAGGCAAATATTTTGTCGCTGAGTTTGATGACTACCACACATATCATAGGTCGGACGACTTTATTATGGGTTGAGGATGTACCAGAAGGCCATCCAATTCTACCGCACATCGATTCAGTTTAGTGGGGAGCATCATGTGACGTTTCACAATATGGGACTTTGTCACTATTCTCTCGACCAGCTTGATTCAGCTATGAAAAATTTTAATCGGGCGCTCCTTTTAAAAAGCGATTATGCCAAGGCTCGAGCGTGGCAACAGAAGCTTCTGCGAGAGCAGCACTACGAAGCGCCACTTCTTTGACTGCGTGTGCTGTTTTCGATAATTCTTACCAGGCCGATTTCGAGATGCCGTACCAGGCCGCGACTTTACCGTCGTGTGAGTTTGACCTTTAGCAGCCGACAACATTTAGATCCATTCTCTACTGTTCGACAGAAAAGAAATGCTGGACTACGAATGATGATGATGGTGCATCGCTAATTTAAATATGGTGGCTGAAAGTTGGTATCCCCGGCGTAATTTTGGCGACATTCAGCATCAATACGTCAAATGGGGCCTTTGCGTGGGCTTGGGGTGCCAGGCTCCACAGCCCAGCGTACAAGGGAAGGCGGCGCCATACTTGCCCCTTGCATGCCCGGGGAAATTCGACATGGCGCAAGTGGCGCGTTGGCAGATGCCCTGGCCGCAACCCACGGGAAATTCGACGCGTTGTAGTTTGGGCCGCGGCCGAGGCCCTGGTGCCTGGGTAAAGCCCCTTTCAATCTCTCTCACGAGGCCCTGTGCCTGTGAGCCGCGGAACAGGGAGGAATCGAAGGGGAGGGGTGTAAAAGAACGTAAGCTCCTTCACTGTAGGCCAGAAAGGTAATATTTACACCGCCCGATACACCGCCGGGATCTAGCAACACTAAGCCGGTGAGCTGCCTATGCAACCCCCAGACTCCTCGGTCACTAAAAGTGTGCAAGAGAAAGAAAGAGGAGGATACCGAATCCGCGTATCCTCGTACAAAAGATACAAGCAAGCCGCTACTGAGCTGGTATATATCCACTGCACTATGAACCTCGAGCTAAGTAAGAGAAGTATACCTTGAAGGGACAATTCCCGCTACAGGGCCCCAAAACTTGATTCATACCGTCCTCGGTAGCAGCTCATCGTTTACCAAGACAGAAGAAGAGCTCTTGCGTCTTGGTGCGTGGCTTGGGCAGGCTAATTTCAGCATGCACAGGAGGGGTGCCAGGCCTAAACTATGCAGGCCGCTTCCAGTTCATTATGATGATCTCAATGTTGTGCATCCCAAATTTGCAAGGACGCGAATCGTTATCAAATACAACGTGCAGACCTGGGTGGCGCGGATCACTGTCTCCTACCAGAGAATGGGTCCAGTTGCTCCTGGCCAAGGGCACACACTTCCTTCCTTCTGGTGACTGCACTCTTCCAGCTCTACCTCCGAGCGAACCTGACCTCGACGACCATGCTGCGGACGAGTACACGGATGCTGTTCTGCAAGGCGAGCAAGTTGAGCATGCTGTTGGTGTTTATGAGATCACTACTGTTGCTGACACTTGCCCTCTCAGCCTCGTTGCTGGATCTGGTCCCCAAGTACTTCATGTGCCTCGCGACGAGGCCGTCCGGCTGACTGCGCTTGCATTTGGGCTTGCCCACGGGGCGGCGGGATGGTCCGCATGACCTATGGGAACGGACAGGGTGTCGGGAGGGAACAAGAGGGGCGAACGAGGGTCACGCACCACAGCGGTCGGGCGGAACCCGACGACAAACCAACCGCCAAACCAGAAAACGATATCGCTCGAGCATCTTAACTGCCACTGCAGGCGAGTTGTAGTCCACAACCCGCTTAGGATTCCTAGGATATGCGCCATATCATGCATAGGTTTATTCAGCGAATGCAGGCTGCTGGGTAGGCTCTGACCACGGTCGACCCCCCCCAGAAGTACGAAACAATTGCTAACGATACCGGGTGGTCCCGGGGGCGGTCACGACGCGTCCGCCCCAGTCCGGGGACGTCCGCGAGGGACGGCGTCGGCCAGGGGCTCGGATGGGACGGCGTCGGTGGTGTGGCGCGCGCGCGCGAAACGACGCCCGCGGGCGAAACGCGCGCGAAAAGCGGACTCAGTGCGCCGCCGCGGTCGTGATCGCGCGCTCGGCGGCCGAGGTGATCGTGTACGTCGCGCGTGGCGCGACGGCGGTGGTGCCGCCGACGACGGGCTGGTCCTCGCGGCCGTCGCCCGAGTCGAGCTTTCGGAGAACGCTCCTGCCGTTCGCGCGGTAGATGCGGACGGTGAAGCGGCGCGTGTCCGCGCCCGTGCGGTCGAAGAGGCGCACCAGGACGACGGGGTCCCCGGGGCGGTA